AACGAATCGGTCATAACAAAGGCGGAGGTGGAATCTCCCTTGCTCTCAGCTTTGGACATCAAGGAGGATACCAAAAAGGAGATTGGCCAGCGAGTTGTGGAAACATTGCTTCACAAAACCGGTGGCAATCTGCTCCTGAAACGCAAGCGAAAGAAGATCAATCGCACGGGATTCCCCACGGTGCGCAGAAAGAAGCGTAAGGTCAGCGTGGAACAGCAGCCAGCAGCCGTGATGGAGGAACCCCAGCCGGAGATCGATCCCGATGATGAGCCCCTGCAGTCTATCAGAGAAACAAGGAGCAGCAGCAGTGCCCAGGTGCAGGTACCAGCTACTCCTGCATTGGACTGCGAGCGAGTGCCTCAAGCTGGCGAGGCCAGGGAAACCTTTGTGGCCCGAAGTAATCAGAGAGCTCCGCGCCTATCGGTTGTGGCTCTGGAACGGCTGCAGCGACCACAAACACCCGCCGCCAGAGGAAGACCGCGAGGCAGAAAACCCAAGAACAAGGAGCAACCCGAAGCACAACCTTTACCACCGCCCAAAACGGAAGGCGAGGTGAAGCCTGTCCGTAAACGTGGCCGACAGCCTAAGCAACCAGTACTGGAAGTGACGCCACCCGCACCCACTCCTCAGCAGAAGAAAACCAAACTGGAACCCAATATTAAACTGCCAGCAGGCATCGATCCCAACACAAATTTCAGCTGCAAGATACGCTTGAAGCGGCGCAAGAACCTGGAGACGGGAACTAATCAAAGTAGAAAGGAGAAGCCGGTTCAACCAGAACCAGTGGAAGAGATTCCACCAGAAGTTCCCGCCAGCCAGGAGGAGATAGATGCCGAGGCGGAGGCCAAACGGCTCGACAGCATCCCCATCGAACATGATCCCTTGCCCGCCAGTGAATCCCAGAACTCCGGTCCACCAGACTACGCCAGCTGCAGTGAATCCAGCGAGGACAAAGCGTCGACCACCTCGTTGCGGAAACTTTCCAAAGTAAAGAAGACCTATCTGATAGCAGGACTCTTCTCGAACCACTACAAACAATCGCTGATGCCGCCGCCAGCGAAGGTGAACAAGAAACCAGGTGTGGAGGAGCAGCAAGTGGCGCCTGTGAGTCTTCTTCCTCCTCCTCCCTATTGCGAGAAGTATCTTCGCAGGAGTGAAATGGACTTCGAGCTGCCCTACGACATATGGTGGGCTTATACCAACTCGAAACTACCCACTCGTCATGATGTGCCATCGTGGAACTATCGAAAGATTCGAACGAACGTGTACGCCGAGTCAGTGCGTCCGAATCTGGCTGGGTTCGATCATCCCACCTGCAACTGCAAGAATCAGGGCGAAAAATCGTGCTTGGACAATTGTCTCAATCGCATGGTGTACACTGAGTGCTCGCCCAGCAATTGTCCAGCTGGAGAGAAGTGCCGGAACCAAAAGATCCAGCGGCATGCGGTTGCGCCCGGAGTGGAGCGCTTTATGACGGCGGACAAGGGATGGGGGGTGAGAACTAAGCTGCCCATTTCCAAGGGCACCTACATCCTGGAGTACGTGGGAGAGGTGGTCACCGAAAGGGAGTTCAAGCAGCGCATGGCCAGCATATATCTGAACGACACCCACCACTACTGTCTCCATTTGGATGGCGGACTGGTGATCGATGGCCAGCGCATGGGCAGCGATTGTAGATTTGTCAACCACTCCTGCGAGCCCAACTGCGAGATGCAGAAGTGGAGTGTCAACGGCTTGTCCAGGATGGTCCTCTTCGCCAAAAGAGCCATCCAGCAGGGCGAGGAGCTCACCTACGACTACAACTTTTCGCTGTTCAATCCCTCAGAGGGCCAACCCTGCCGGTGCAACACGCCCCAGTGTCGCGGTGTCATCGGTGGCAAGTCGCAGAGGGTGAAACCCCTGCCCGCTGTGGAGGCCAAGCCCGCTGCAGAGGGACCTCCGGGCCGAAACGGTCGTCAGCGGAAGCAAAAGGCCAAGAAGCACGCTCCACGGCAGGCGGCAGGCAAGGATACTGCATCAGCAGTGGCGGTGGCAAAGCTCCAGCCGCTGTCCGAAAAGGAAAAGAAGTTGGTCAAGCAATTCAACACGTTTCTAGTGAGGAACTTTGAAAAGGTAAGTTTCTATTTTATATTTTATTCCTGAACATTTTCTAATCATCTCCGTTTTCCCCTTTAGATTCGCAGGTGTAAGGCCAAAAAAGCATCGGCCTTGGCATCTGCTGCCACTACTGCAGCTTCTCCAGCACATGGTGCCACCAATGGCGATATTCCTGGTCGCCGCCCCTCCACACCATCCTCCACTTCCCTGGCTGCCCAGATCTCGGCGCTCTGTACACCTCGCAACATGAAAACCCGTGGCTTGGCCCAGGCAGTACATGATCCCGAGCTGGAGAAGATGGCCAAAATGGCTGTGGTGCTGAGGGACATTTGCAGTGCTCTAGAAACGCTGAAGATGTCCGATCTGTTGACCACAGTGTCCAGCAAGAAGAAAAAGGCCACAAAGAACTCCACAAGTGGCAAACAAAATGCAACAGCTGGCAGTTCTCGCGTGGAGTTCAGATCGATTCAGGCCCAGGTCGAGCAGGGACATTACAAGACGCCCCAGGAATACGATGAGCAGATGCAGCAGCTCTTTGCGGAGGCCAAACAGCAGCATGGCGATGACGAGGGAAAGGCCAAAGCACTGCAATCCCTGAAGGAATGCTATGAGCAACAGAAGGCGGCCAGCTATCTTCAGCTGGTGGAGATTCTGGGCGATTCTGATTCATTGCAGAGCTTCAGGCCAAAGGAGGTGGCTTCCCCCGTAGAGGAAGCGCCAAAGGTTGTGGTGAAAAAATCACCAGGAGCAAAGGAAAGAGATTCCCCATTAGAGCCATCGAAAGCATCACCCCTACTGCTTCCCGTTGAGACATCTCCGGAGGAGGATGTGATCCGTTGCATTTGCGGGCTGTACAAGGATGAGGGTTTGATGATCCAGTGCGCCAAGTGCATGGTGTGGCAGCACACAGAGTGCACAAAAGCGGACATAGATGCCGACAACTATCAGTGCGAACGTTGCGAGCCCAGGGAAGTGGATCGTGAGATTCCCCTGGAGGAGTTCACCGAAGAGGGCCACCGCTACTATCTCTCCCTGATGCGCGGCGATCTACAGGTGCGTCAAGGCGATGCCGTCTATGTGCTGCGTGATATTCCCATAAAAGACGAAGCGGGCAAGGTGCTGCCAACCAAGAAGCACACCTACGAGACGATCGGAGCCATTGATTACCAGGAGTGCGACATCTTTCGGGTGGAGCACTTGTGGAAAAACGAAGTGGGCAAGCGTTTCATATTCGGCCACCATTTCCTGCGGCCCCATGAGACTTTCCACGAACCTTCTCGTCGCTTTTACCCCAACGAAGTGGTAAGAGTCTCCCTCTATGAGGTCGTACCCATTGAGCTGGTAATTGGACGCTGCTGGGTCCTGGATCGTACCACTTTCTGCAAAGGACGACCAATGGAATGCAACGATGAGGATCACTGCTACATATGTGAGCTGCGGGTGGACAAGACGGCGAGGTTCTTCTCCAAGGCCAAGGCCAATCATCCGGCCTGCACCAAAAGCTATGCCTTCCGAAAGTTCCCCGAAAAGCTCAAGATCTCCAAGAGCTATGCGGTTAGTTTACATATTAACATATTAATAATATAAGGCATTTTAACACCTATCGTTTATTTGCAGCCCCATGATGTGGATCCTTCGCTGCTGAAAACGAGGAAGCAAAAGACTGAATTAGATGTAGGAGCCGTGCCAGCAACGATGCAAAAGACACCTGGCAGGCAGGAACAGCAGCAGCCGAGATCGGTTGGGCGGAAGCCGCGAGTGATTAGTGCAGCTCCAGTGGAGGATACAGCTGTCCATGTTGTAACACCAGTGGTGCCCAATAAACAGGTAAGTTTTTGCTTGCTAATTGTTTTACACATTATTAATTTGGTTCTTCCCCTCAAAAGATGGTTAAGAAGAAGCGATCGCGTTTAGAGAACGTCCTGATAACCATGAAGTTGAAGTGTCTGGATGCACAGACAGCCCAGGAGCAGCCCATTGATTTGTCATACCTGCTGTCCGGACGCGGAGCCCGTCAGCGGAAAACCCAGCAGTCGAGTAGCAGCTCCACGGCCAGTTCGACCTAACAGATTTAGCCAGCAAATAGGTTAAGCCGTGTATATACGCCTAAAGTTAGAGGCATTGCTTAATATTTATGAAACTTTAATTAACAATTAGCTTGTAGCATTTAAGATGTAACGGTGATAGTAGTAATTTTAGAGTGTACATTGTTATGAACAAATTTCGCGAAGGAAAGGCCTGCAATCGAGCGGCTGAAATGGAACAGATTATGAATTATGCCTAAAGTAAGGACTTATTTAAATACTAGTATTTACGCCACCACACGAAGCCCCCCATTTAGATGAATTTCTTTTGTTTTTAATTGTTTATCGCATCTCCATATTGATTTTGTTTTACGGAACCATCTATTTTTCGTCCTTGCAATCCGAAGGCGTTTGAATTTTGCATTGTTATTTTAAATTATTTTAATATGTTATGGCTGCTTAACTACGAATCACCCATGTAGGACAACTTATTGCGCTATTAGTTTTTAATTAATTTCAAATTGTTATTAACTGCTAACAAAAAATTTAAAAGTGAAATAAAAAATATATTTTCATTAAATTGCTTGCCTATTTTAAATGTGCCGCCCTTTGTGTGGAAAAGTGTTGTAGGATTAGGCATACGTTGCGTTGCACAACACTGATTACATGGGCGTAGTGGGGGGGTTTGGTAAATCAATTACAAATAAAAATAAGTTGTTTTTTTTTACCTTTAATTTTAGATGTTATTAACTTTAACTCTTAAGACTCTTTATATTTAATAACTAATTATTTTTAATATATGGTTTTTTTCATACAACAGCTTTAACCCCCTATTAACTATTTTTAACCACACCTGTGACTATTCAAACATCTGTTCAGCATAACCGACCATGTTTTGTAATATCTTAAAACGCTCGTTTCAAGCGAATATCAGGAATGTGAATAACTTGAATGTGCTGCGCTTGAGCAGCTCCAATAATCCTCAAGGCGACATCCAGGATGCACTGGACATCGAGGCCAATCTCTTCGGGAATTCGAGTTTGAAGCACGAGCCGGTAAACACGCGGGAAGCTTTACGCAAGAACCGCACCAAATCGTTTGTGGCTAGGAAGCCCAAGGAAACCAGTGCTCCACCTGCTCCTCGAAAGTTTACGGCTCCCCCTGCGCCACGTGTAGCCCCCATTCCGGCTCCAGTGATCAAGGACAGTGAACTGAATCTGGAGTTTGTGCGTCTCACCCTGCAGGATCCCCTGACCAGCACTCTTCTGACCACAGTGCGTTCCCGCAAGCGGCGGGACAAGAACCGCCAGATCATCGTCGAGGGCAGACGCCTCATCCAGGAGGCTCTGCAATGTGGCCTCAAAATGGAGGCCCTCCTGTTCAGCCAGAAGGATCAGTTGGCTCTGGTCAAAGAGGAAGTGGGCAGGGCGCAGCTGGAGACTCGCACCAAGATCTACAAAGTGCCGCAGCATGACCTGAAGACCTGGTCTTCGCTGGTTACCCCGCCCGGTCTGATGGCCATCTTCGACAGGCCCTCGGACAAGGGTCTGGAGAAGAACCTGGCGGAGCAACTGCGTCTGGGCAGTCAGCCCTTGCCCATTACAGTCGTGTGCGACAATATCCGGGAGCCCAATAACCTGGGCAGCATCATCAGGACCTGCGCCGCTCTGCCCTGCAGCCAGGTGGTGGTCACCCACGGCTGCTGCGATCCCTGGGAATCGAAGGCTTTGCGAGGAGGCTGTGGCGGTCAGTTCCGAGTGCCCATCCGGGATGATGTCCCCTGGGAGGAGCTCCCTTTGGCCATTCCTCCAGAGGCTGCCGACGACTGTAATGTTTTCATTGCCGAGAACAACCAAGAGAAGCGGGAGAGCAATCAGGCCATTGATTATGCAGAGATCAAGGGCATCGGAGCCCACAATCTGCTTATTATTGGCGGTGAAAGCCATGGAGTCAGTGAAGAAGCTTACCGGTAAGAGGTGAAACATCCAAGTGGTGGCCAAGCAAAGCTATTTTAACATTTCTTGCAGTTTCTTGAACTTGGTTGGACACAAAGGAAAGTGCGTCTATATACCCCTGGCAGCTGGAATCGATAGCTTAAATGTGGCATCCGCTTTGACGTTATTGCTGTTCGAGCTGCGAAGAAAACTTAATGAGCAGGCGACAGCTAAGGATTAGGTTTAACTACCAAAGCCATCATAAAAGTATTTTGTTGGTTAACAAATTGGAATAAATAAAAACAACTAACTTTGCTATTACAAAATTAATTCCCTTTTAGTCAATCTCATATAGTCAAAAGCATTTTTCGTTCTCCTTGTGTCATAGACGTATTATAAATTTATTGCTAGGCTGTTTCACAAATAGAGTAGTTAGTAAATAGATTAAATTCAACTATTAGCTTCGATTTCCTTGTAAACCTCCCGCTTATACTCGTCCAGACCACCTTCGATTGCTCTCACAGTGCGATTTCCGCACACCCAGAGTTCTTTGCAAACGACCTTAATGAGGCGTTCGTCGTGGGAGACCAAGATAACGCCGCCCTGTCAAAATAAATAAATAATGTTATTCATCTTCGTTTTATATAGCATGTAAGCGCCCTTACCTTAAAGGCATTAATAGCCCGTCCTAAAGCATCAATTGTTTCAATGTCCAAGTGATTAGTCGGCTCATCAAGCACCAGGAAATTGGGTTCCGCTATTGAAGAAAAATAGTAAGTAAGAGTTTATTGAGAGCTTATCATGATCTTACCCATGCACATCTTCGCTAAGGCCACGCGTGATTTCTGTCCTCCAGATAAGCTGGCAATGCTCTGCAGTGCCAGTGGTCCGGAAAGGCCAAAGCTACCCAGCTGCCGGCGATACTCCTCATCCGGGCGTCCGGGAAACAATTCGGCCAGAACTCCCACACACGTCACATTCATGTTCAGATGATCCACATGATGCTGGGCAAAATATCCAATTCGCAGGCCACGATGCAGGACAATGTTTCCGTGAATGGTGCTCAGCTGACCGACAATGATCTTCAGCAGCGTCGACTTGCCCGCTCCGTTCTCTCCGACAATGCAGATTCGCGAGTCCGAGGTGGCTGAGAGATTAACCCCCTTGAAAATGGGCAGTGGGTCTTCGGGGTTGTAGCGGAAGGATACCTCCGAAATGGCCAGCACTGGAGGATTGAGGGGCTCCACATCGGGGAATTTGAGCGTGACCACTGTCTCTTTCTCCACTGGCTTAAGTTCGGGCCTGTAACATTTTAGTAATAAGAACATTCGGAATGTTGGCGTTTTTACTTTACAATCAAAGTAGCACTTACAGTTTTTCCAGCATTTTAATTTTCGACTGCACGGATGAGGCACGATTTGCATTGTATCGGAAGCGATCGATAAAGTCCTGGACATGCGATCTGTGAGCCATTTGAGCCTCGTATTCCCGCCGTTGGGACTTCAGCTTTTCCGTCTTCGTTTTCTCGAACTGCTCATAGTTTCCCCTTCAAAGCAAAAGTAGAATAAATTAGTTACTGAATTATAGCCTATTTGCGACTGTATTACTTGTATGCCTCCAGTTCCTGGGAATGTAGGTGTATAATGTCCGTGGGCACGGTGTCCAGGAAGTTGCGATCGTGGGAAACGACGAGAACTGTGGTGGGCCACGTCTGCAGATAGTTTTCCAACCAGATGATGGCCTTGATGTCCAACATGTTCGTCGGCTCATCGAGCAGCAGCAGATCGGGCTTTGAGAAGAGTGCCCTGGCCAAAGCGAGACGCATGCGCCAGCCGCCTGAGAAGGATTTCGTTGGACGCAGCTGCATGTCTGCGTCGAAACCCAAGCCCTTAAGTATCACAGATGCACGGGCCACAGCCTTGTCGGCCTCGATGTTCTGCAGGGCCGCATAGGTTTCGCTCAGCTCATTGGACAGTGTTGCATCCTGCACGCCATTGTTCAGAGCCGCCAGGATCTCCTTCTCCCGGGTCATTAGCCTCGTTCGCTCGAGATCACACTCCAGCACACTGTCCACGGCGGGTGTGTCATCGCCCACCACCTCCTGCTCCACGTGAAGAACCGAAATGTGCGAGGGGATCTGCAGCTGCCGCTCGGCGATCATCCGTAGCAGAGTGGTTTTGCCCAGTCCATTGCGTCCCACCAGCCCATAGCGGCGACCGAAGGAAAGCAGCAGATTCGCATTCTGCAGAAGAACTCTGGCGAAGATTAACAACATTTTAAAGTTTGCTCAACTACTTAGATTCATTGCCTTACTTTTCGCCAAAGGCCAGGTCAAAGTTCTCGATCTTGATGTCCATCGAGCGGTTGAGTCCCTTCTGATCCAGCTTGGTGTTCTTCTTGTTGGTCACCTGGGAAGCTGTGGCCGTTTGCAGCTTCACCGCCACAGGAATCATTCCATGCTTGTTCACCTCCTGCCGTTTCTCCTGTTTCTGCTGCAGCTTGGCCTCCGCCTTCCCTAGCTTCTTGGAGTCAACTTTCTGGAAAAGTAAATGTGTTGCAATTGATTATTAACCAAGCCCCTGGATATACAAGACAACTGGTCGAACATTTCTAGAATTTCGTCTTTAGCTTGGTGTTTCGTGGTATGCCCAGTTGGGGTATCGCCATCTCTAGAGGCACACTTACATTGCCGCCGTCCTTGTTCACCACCCAGATGCTCTGCATGTCCTTGTCCATTCGCTCCATGTTCTTGGCCATCTCCTCGATATTGACCGGCGCATTGAGCACCTTGCGCTCCACACTGACCCCGTTGTTCTTCATGATGTTGAGGAACTGCTCGCACAGCGCCCGGACGCCCTCCTCCGGGCGGTCGCAATCGACGCTCTGCAGGATGTCGCCCACCGCGTCGAAGATGTCGTCGCCGGTGTCGAAGTCCTCCTCACCTGGTGATGGGAAAGTCATCTCATTAAAAAGGTCGAGGGTATCAAAAGGTTAAGGCCCCGTACTTCCGGTGAGCACCCCCACAACATAGGTTTTGGTTTCCGTGTCAATTTTGGGGAACTCGCGCTCCAGAATGGTCGTGTACTCGCTCATTTTTTGGCGGATTTCGCGTTGCGGGGCGGGCAGTCGGATCCTACGGTTGACCTTGATCGCAAAATCGGTTAAATATCGTGGAAGTCGGATATTAATTGACTTTTCCGACTTTTACCACCGCAAACGAAAACTTAAAGGGAGAGCAGTGTGACCGTTTCTCGATTGCTAAAACATACCTTGGCCGCGGTCACACGCTCCCGGACCATTTCATTTCCGTTTCGTTCCCAGAGAAATCTCTAGAGATTTTAGTCAAACAAAATTTGGAAGGCAAATACAAATCCTAAAATTTAGAATTTAATAATTTTTTTGTTTTAAAATATAAGTTATAAAAAAATTAGATTTGGGGGAAAATAAGAACCTCCAAGACTTTGTATTTGAGGTGAATAATAAATTACAATGCTACAGTGTCATAACAACATAGACATTGGAAAATTAAAGTGCCCGTTTAAATTTCCCTGCTATCGGTCTACTATCGATATTTTATGTTACATCTCAAAGCGAATTGCATAAAATTCCTGTTTTCTTTCGACAGTTTAACCGATTTAATTTACCAAAATGTTTAACAAAACCGCTTTAATTGGAGCCATGGTGCGACGATCCTTCGGAACCAGCAAGATAATGCGGGAGACAATTAAAAACCACGAGCCCAACAATTTGGAAAGGAAAATGTTGGTGTGGACCGGTAAATACAAGACGCAGGCTGAAGTTCCCAATTTTGTGAGGTATTTATTTGGGATTTAATGCAGAGCGAGCAACAGGTCCTTTACATTTATTATCCCATTTTGCAGTCAGGATGTCATGGAGCGCTGTCGCAACAAAATGCGCATCCGTCTGGCCAATATAATGATCGCTCTCACCGCCATCGGTTGTGCCATCATGGTATATAGTGGCAAACAGGCCGCCAAGCGAGGTGAATCCGTTACCAAGATGAATCTCGAGTGGCACAAGCAATTCAAGGATCCCCAGGAGGGCGAAGGAGCAGCTGCTCCGGCCGCCAAATAGGAACCTAAACCACAAGAATATCCATTCGCTTAGAAACATTACAATTGTCCAGGGTTCTGTTTTCAATTCCGATCAAAAAACGTTATACTTTCTGCCAAATTAAAATAATTATATTGTTGTACCTTATACAGTTCCCCCATTTTGTAAATTTCGTTGTCGATCCTTCGAAAGTGTCCTCAGATTCCTCTCTGCTTTAAATGTATTATTTTAAGTTTAGACAAATCCATTTTATAATCCAATATTTTTAGGAATTGAAAACGGCAACTGGTCAAATCTTTTAGTTTAGCTTTGGTTTAGAAATCATTTTGCCCTCGGCATGTGAACATGCCATATCCTTAGATATTCAGTGATATTTGTAAACTCAAAGTTAGTTGTATTTTCAAAGTTAATAAATATTTTATGAGAACATTTTCGATGCTACGATTTTTTAAACAATAAAAAAAATGTTGTAATTTCTTTATAACTACTTTAAGGGGAGAGGTCACCAAATATGACCTCTCCATGAATCTCTTTACCTATTAAGATGAATATAATACCAAATTCTGGGGACATCTAGATCAATTTCTTTAAATTAATTTTATTGATTTGAAAACACACTTCCGATAGCCGAAATGTAATTCCTTTTTTGTTTGCTTTTAAAGTTAGTGTAAAGAAGTTAGCCGCCATCTTATGAATTGAATAAATTTAATTTTAATTTTTAAAGATAATTATTTAACATATAAAATATTCGTATTGAGAAGCTTCGGAAGTAATGATTGTGAATTACTTTAGAACAAGTTAACATACAGGGGTGGATAAAAGTATTTATACAAATCAAATGAAAATATGCTTATAAATTAAGTTTTCGATTAATGAAAATGAACAAAAATTTGTTGTTTCCCATTCTTATTAATTGCCATATCCTTGATGGGAATTACGACCCATAAATATTTTATGATAACTCATTGAGGTCCGGCAGCCGATTGGAAAGGCAACATCAACATCTGTTCCGATTGTGTTTCGCTGTTTCTGTGACCACCACTTGCTCTGCAAACTGCGCCGACTCCGTGAGTATTTTGGTGCTGTCCCGGATTCTGGTTCGGATTTGGATTCGGATTGTGATACCGACGGTGGGAGGCGCTGGCGCTTTTTGCTTTTCACTTTTCACTTTCAGTTTGTCGAGAACTGTTTGTCTGAACGCCCCCCAAAAAAAACTCGCTGAGCGGAGCAAATAGCGGGACGCAGTTTGGGC